TGGCCGTGGGCCACTTTCAGATGGATGGCAGGTTGGTTCATGTAATGCATACATATATAGATGAAGTTACTTGAGGCATTTCTCCCTTTCTAATTCCTTCTCTTCAACTGTTAGCAACTTAGCATCCAATTAACTGACTAGAACCTTTTTGCGATTCCTATTGAATCTTCAACCCAATTTGATTTGTGAATGATTACTTCTGACATTAAATATTTGCAGGACAAATGCCATCCAGTAATGACAGCATATAAATTGGTGACAGTGGATGCACCATATTGGGGTTTTGGTTATCGACTTGAACAAGCATTGTTAGCGGTAAAATTTCTTAAGCTTCAATCTGTAGATTTTAACCTAATAGTATAGACTATAAAGTATGATGGTGAAAGTTAGGTGCCTCGCAGTTACCTTGAACATTTGACAAATGACAATATTAACTGTGAACGCTGCACTTCAATGAAATCATAGTCTAAACGGGGAAGATTTATTTGGAACTTAATCATTTGAGGCAATTTATCATCTTACAAATCATCAAAGGAAACTTAAACGTATGATAAGCACTGGACTGTGTGCCTGAAGTGTTGGAGTCATGTGCACCAAAGCTCAACCCTGTTTAGTTTGCATTTGCAGCTCAAATACACATTTAGGCCCTCGAACTTGACTTGGACTGAGGCATTAGTTTGCATGACTTCCTTAAAAATGAGCCCCCCAACACACACAAGGACACAAAAGCACCAGCACACACTTGAATTTTATTTAAAACTTGCAGCAAGTTCACATCATTTATCTCTTATAGGGTGAAAGAGCTCTCTTCCTGGAAAGTCATCGGAATTGTTTTGGTTGGATCGATGAATAGTTTGGGATGACAATGCAACAAATACGTGAACTTGAACAAAAAGGTTATTGCTTATTAAATGAGGTGAGTGAGTCTGTTTCTCTTGTGGTGCTCATTTTGGTAGTGCTCTTGATATATAAATGTGCTCATTTCTTTTCATATTATAAGCATTTCATGTGGGAAAGATATTGTAGTTGTGCCTCTATCTGTCAGTTCAGATAAGGTTTGCTACACAGTCTGCATAAATCTGTGGACAGTGTTTTGGCCCCTACATCTGGATTAGTTTAAAATGGAATCTTGAAAAACAGTTTAAGAATGTTCTATCTGCTACTCTTAACAATTATTGACATGTCCAGTGTGATTTGAATCGAGCCCCGCTTGTCACTTTAGTTTTCATTCTCCGCATTGGATCATATCCACTTTCATCCATAGGTTTCATTTGATTGATCAGTATCATCTGCTTTAACAGAAAATCAGCAAGCCGATTTTGCTGACAGATGAATTGTGATCAAAGGTTTTCCCATAACAGCGAAAGACATGTACCGCAAGTGGTCCATACTTGATATCAAGCAGACTCGTGTTTCTTTTGTTGACAATCCAGGGGCGTAACCCAAGTTCTATGAAGATATGCCTTAACTGCAGAGTTACAAGATTAAACAGCAAACACATTCAAACACAAAACTGGGATTCTTACACTGTAATGACACCTATAAATTACCATTGTTTCCAAGAATTTTACATTAGGTTTTAACTGAAAATATTTTCCACTCATTTTTTGTTTAGGGTAAAGTTTTATGATGTGTAATGTGAATATTATTATTTATCAGAAATTGTTGACAAAAAGCATTTTTGTTAATATATTTTTATTTTCTTTTGTTGGTTTATTTATCAAAAAAAAATAACAAGTGTACCAAACCTTACCGAATCTGTTCGGTTATAAAAGTAGATAGAATGTGATGAACATGCGGTGTTATTTGTAAAGACGTGTATTGATCCCATCGTGGCATTTTTCCCCCTCTCTTGTCTCTTCACTCGCTTAAACTACGTCGTTTGGTTTAACTCTTCAATTCATTAAACATATTTGGTAAGACTTAACTTAACCCTAAATGAAATGATTTGATTTTATCCTAGATTGGGCTCTTTTTTTTTTTGACTTTTTAGGATCTTTTTGTAATGGTGGCATCTTCCATGAGCGTGCAGCCTTTTAAAATTAGGTGGAATCACAGCAAATAGGGTCATAGATAAAGGAAATGGGCTTACAACTGCACATGATGATGTTGACTATTATTTTAAGTCAATAATAATGACCTTATCACCGGTTGTAAATGTTATTGTTCCAGGACAAAAAGTTGAAATTAAAAAATAATTCTTTCAAAAAGTTGTAATAAAAAAATAATAATTCTTTTAAAGTTACCCTTATTATTAAGGCTTAAACCCTAAGCCTATTTCCATTTTTTTTTTACTTCTACTATCTCAGCACCCACCCACCTTTCCAATTAGTATAGATACCAAGACAACTCCTCTTTGTTTTATCCTTAACTTTTTGGATCAAAATACCCTTTTATAAAAAAAGATGGACATAAGAACAACCATGAACAACATCTTCTTTCTCAGTCAACGATTAATAACATTAACATTATTTCTAAATTATAAAACTAAATAGCTTAAACAAGAATTTAAGTTAAAACCCATAAGCTCTATGTTGAAAAATAACGTTATTAATTCATAAAATTAGAACAAAAAATTAAACATCAAAACTTAATTCGCTAGGGAAAAAAAAAACAATTCAAGAACTAAGTCCCTGTACAACCCAAATACCAGAAACTTTAAAAAAAAAAAAAGATGCCAATCAATGCATCATGTAAACAAAAAGATGAGCAAAATGGGTTTATATATATTCTTAGTAAAGTTTCTTTCTTCCTTCTTTTTGTCTACACATCCAAAGCCATTTTGCTTTTATATATTCTCAGTAAATTCCCTTTTGTCTCTTGTAACAACTTCATTGTCAAAATTCACGGCATGCCTAGATCCAGAACCATGTCTGATTCAATGAACTCAACAACCTTCTAACTCGTCTTGCATTAAGACGACAAGGGGAGAAATATGAGGAGACAGAGATAGAAGCCTCCATTGAAGAAGCTTTTGCAGACCAAGCAATTGCCATTTTTTATGGGTATTGACGAATAAATAAGAATGGCAGTGACAAATAAAAAAATTTACAATAAAAGATTAAATCAAATGGTTATAATTATAAGGAAAGAAAAAGATGGGTTCCTACTTTTGTTTTCCCTTCAAATATCCAAATCTCAAAATGGGTTAGATAAAAAGGTTGATATTATGAAGAAAAAACAAAAGGGAAGAAAAACGAAATGAAATCTAAGGAAAATTGATTTTGCAGTAGGACTGTAGGAGGTCCCGAGAAGATGTAGGGAAGAGAAGAAGGTTTGGAAGAAGAAGAGCGTAAAAAAAAAGAAAAAGAAAAAGAAAGTAAAAAACAACACAAAAAATTATAGTATATTCTAATTAATTTTTTCACTTAATTTTATTAATTAATTTATTTATTATCTTTAATTTTCAATATTTAATTATTTTTCAAAAATACACGTGGCATTCACATGGCACAATTAACGGCGCGTGTTAAACAAACACTGATTTTTGGTTTGACCATTACGTTTTGGGGTTTGATCCCAATTAACGGCGCGTGATAAGTATGATTAGGAAAACCTTATATCCTGAATTGATTATTTAAGGGTTTGCCTAATCATGCTTTACAGTTTCATCATACATGATTTGGGATTTGACCATTACGCTTTGGGATTTGATCCCATTACTAGTAGGGGTTTACCTAATCATGCTTTAAAGTTCACTATACATGATTTGGGGTTTGACCATTATGATTTGGGATTTGATCTCATTACTAATAATAAGTTTTTGTCTCATGCTTTAAATTTCACCATACATGATTTGGGGTTTGACCATTACAATATTTCATTATACATGCATGGTCAAACCCTAAAACTTGATAATTAAACCCCAAAACTTGTTAATCAAATCATGTTAAACCTTACCCCAATTGAAACACCCACCTAAAAAAAGAAACATCCACCTAATTTTTGCCCAAAAATTGTGTTTAAGGCAAATTATATATAAGGTATTAATTGAAGCACCCACCTATGAGTCAGATTTGACAAATCAAGTTTAATTTGAATGAAAGTAACCTTGATTTCGATCACCGTGATCTAATTATACTGAACATGGTGATCTAAGATCACCGTGAACTTTCATAGTTATACCAAACATGATGATTTAATATCACTGTCAATAAGATCATCAACGTGATTTAATCACCACAATGATCTTGCAAAAACAACCAAACACACATTAATTGATTTTCCTATTCTGGCAAAAAAAAAAAAAGCTTTTCAAATTTAAAAGCTATCTAGGCGACAAGGGATCAGGAGATGCCTTTGCAATAGTCTACTACACTCAGCATCAACTATCAAGAGTCATTACTCTCAAATCTTCCGAAGTGAGAATGATCCTGTTCTAGCTAACGGTGCTGTTCCCAGTGATTAATCATCCACTAATTGTAGAGTTGATTAGTATACTTGTGTTATAGATTGTGATTCTTCTAAATTAAAAGAAATCAAAAGAAATTTACTTTATGATATGCTCAAAGATAATAAGATGACCTTATCTTTGTTTTCTTCTTTTGAATTAATAAGAAATTCATACTAACTTTGTTATGACTTATGAGTAACAATAAAGAAAGGAATATGGGGCACAATTTCTAAAAGCAAAATAAATATAAATATATTGGAAGTTGGAACAATATAAATATATTGGAAGTTGGAACAATATAAATATTTGAATCATTGGCTTAAGTTGATTAGTACTTAATCAAGGGATTCTTAAAAAAAAAGTTAATCAAGAGATTAATTTTTCTGTGAAAAAAAATACCGTTGAAAGTAGAAATTACATAGGAATCATATAATTAATTATTAGTAATAAGTAACTAAATGGAAAGAAAACACTCATTTTTTAATTTGGTGGATTTTTAAATTTTTTTTTTGGATAAATATGTATTATTCATCCGGTAGCAGGGAACAAAACCTGCTACAAAAATAAAAACTAGTACAAAGGAGTTGCTACAAAGAGCAACATACAGTCACCAAACAAGCTGCAAACACCGGCTTTTACAAAGAAAGTCATTTACAGGATCCCTAACAACATTTCTAAGACCCAATAACCTAATTCTGATAGCATCAACAATACATTGAAAAGACTGTTCAACAGTTTGCATTTGCCGCTGAAAAAGACGCCTATTTCTCTCTCTCCAAATTACATAGCAGAAAGCATTCCATGCAAGTTTCAGGATTAGAGATAGGAGAGATTTACCTTTAAGCTTAGAGAGAGCCCACTGAAATTCATAATGCCAGTTACCAACAGTCCTATGTAATCTGCAAGCTGCAAGAACCTTCATCCATACCTTCTTTGAGTAGTCACAAGTGAAGAAAATGTGATCTCTACAATCAGTGTGTTGTCCACAAAGAACACAATCCATAGAGTCTAACTGTAAATTCCATTGTCTCAATCGATCCTTGGTAGGCAAACGATCCAAAATAACCATCCAGGTAATTAGAGAATGCCTAGGATAGTTATAAGAAAACCACAATAACCTGTGCCATGAGACATGTGGCTGTCGATGCCTTAGTTGATTATAAATCAAAGAAATCTTGTAAATATAAGTAGATTGAGACCAGTCACCATTATGGATGAAATATGCAGCTTTTACCCTGAGTTTGAGTAGTTTTTTCATATTCCAACTATATCTTTGAAGACTAGGAATCTCCATGATATTACTACCTTTAAGTATATAAGCATGAATCCATGCTATCCAAAGAGATCCAGACTGCACAAAGATACTCCAAAGATGCTTAAGGATACAAGCTTGATTCCAAATTGTCATATTTTTGAGACTAAGCCCTCCTTCAGATTTAGGGTGGCTGATCCAATCCCAGCTGACCCGTGCTCCTTTTGCATTAGTGCTAGTACCTTTCCAGAAGAAAGAAGAACAAAGCTGATTTACTTTTTTAATTACAGCTCCAGGTAGCATGAAACTTTGACACCAAAAGTTTTGAATGCTAAAGAGAACAGATTGAATTAATTGGAGCCTTCCAGCAAAAGTGAGATATTTGACAGCCCAATTAGAAATCCTTTGCTTGATTTTCTTAATCAGTACACCACAATCTTTTTCTGATAAGTTTCTAGAAACCAAAGGAAGTCCCAAGTATCTAACCGGAAGAGTACCAATCTTGAATTGAGACAATGTTTGCAATTCCTGGACATGCTCAACAGAGATTCCTACTGTAAACAGCTCACTTTTTGTACAATTCAACTTCAACCCAGAGTAAGAATAGAATAAATTAAGAATACTTTTAATACCAGTAATGGAGTCAGCATTACCTTTGGTAAAGATTAACAGATCATCTGCAAAGCATATATGAGTAAGATTAATCTTCTTACATTTAGGATGAAAAGAGAAGACCTTTTGCTGAGCTGAAAAATCAAGTAATCTGGATAGTACATTCATAGCAAGGACAAAGAGATAGGGAGAGATGGGATCTCCCTGTCACTCCTCGAGCACCAGCAAAGTACCCAATAAGACCACCATTAAGAGATAAAGAAAAGTGAGGAGTCATAAAGCAATTAGAAAGCCAGTTGATGAAGACATCTGGGAAATCATGAGCTTGGAGGATATTAACAAGAAAAGACCAATCCACAGAGTCAAATGCTTTCCTAAGATCAATTTTTAGAGCACATCTTGGAGAGATGTTACTCCTATTATATCCACAAACAATTTCTTGAGCTAGGAGTACATTATCAACTAGTTTCCTACCCTTGATAAATGCGTATTGATTATCAGCAATCAGAAAAGGTAAACAAGGCTGCATTCTGTTAGCCAAAATCTTGGTAATACATCTATAGATGATAATGCAGCATGCAATAGGCCTAAACTCAGTAATATAACTTGGATTTGGTACTTTGGGAACACGAGTAATGGCAGTTGAATTGAAAGCAGGAAGTAGATCACATGTGTTAAAGAAGTGAAGAATAGTCTCAATAACATCTTGCTTCACCACACTCCATGCAGTTTTAAAGAAATGAGCATTGAACCCATCAGGACCTGGTGCTTTGTCACTGCTCATGGAAAACAAAGTTTTCTGGATTTCATCAGGGGTAATAGGTGCAACTAAAGTTTGTTTCATCTCCTCAGGAACAGTATCTTGCAATATCTCTGTTAAGAGAGCAGTAGAACAACCAACAACAACATTATCCTTTTCTCCAAGTAATGATTTGAAGAAAGAAATGGCCTCCTCTGAAATTTGCTCAAATGTGTCTAAGTTGTCTTCATTTGCTTATTTGAGTAATTTAATAGTATTAAATCTCCTCTTCATAGTAACCATCCTATGGAAGAATTTTGTATTCTGATCTCCCTCTTGTATCCATTGTATCCGAGACTTCTGTTTGTAGAAACTTTCCTCAGCAATTGATAATTCCTTCAATTCAAGTTCTTTAACTTTCATATCAACAATCAACTGTGGAGAAGCATATTGTAAAATAGAATTCTGTAACTGAGCAATCTCCTCACGTTTACTATGTACATGATTAGAGAGCTGACCAAACTTATCTTTGTTAAACTGTCTTAGCACAATTTTCAATCTCTTAAGTTTGCGAAACAGTTTAATCATAGGATTTCTACCAGAGACAGTTTGAGACCATGATTGAGCAACAATGGCTAAAAAATCATCATGCTCAGACCAAAAATTGAAGAACCTGAAAGGTTTAGGAGGAGAATAATTCTGAGAATCTAGTTTGATAAGGATCGCACAATGATCTGAGATCTCAGAGCAAGAAATTCAACTGTAGAATGTTGGAAAGCATCAAACCAGTCAATATTTACCAAAGCTCTATCCAATTTCATGAAGATAGAGCCTTCCTCCCTTTTATTCCACCACGTAAAAAGTGGACCAGTGTAGATATGATCGACTAAATCTAACTGAGAAATGCATTTAGTAAATGCCAAAACATCTGAACCAGGGAGTTGAGAACCATTGTAATCAGAGCTCTCTTCCAAAGTAAAGATAATATTAAAATCCCTTGCTACTAACCAGGGTGCATGATCAATAACTCCTGAAAGATGCAGTAAATGATTCCATAGGTCCTTCCTCTCAATCTCAAAATTTGCACCATATACAGCAGAAACATAGAATTGTTTTCCATAAGAAGTAACCTTGCAAGTAATGCATTGTGCACAGGAATCAATAAAATCAACTTGGCAACAGTCTTTCCATACAAACCAGATTCGACCATTAGGAGCATGATCATAGTTGCAAAAATAGTTCCATCCAGGGAATAAACGAGATAAACTAGCAGCAGAATTTATGACTTTAACTCTAGTTTCTAATAAGCAAACAACATCAACATGAAGCTTATTTATTCGTTGACTAGCCTTAACCTGTTTGTCAGAGGCATTAAGCCCTCTGGTATTCCATGCCAGAATTGTCAGTGAGAAGGAGGAAGAGGGGAACTAGGAGCAGCAAGCTGAACTGCTTTACCTTTCTTATTCTTTGATGCTTTTTTTAGTAATCTGCTTCATAAGTTCCTTAACATTATCTGATGCAGCTCTAGGTTGCGAGTATTACCAATAACAGGGGCAGAAATAGCATCTGGAGCTTCAACATTTTGCAATATGGTGAAACGGTTAGCTGATTGTTTTGAAGTACTTGTTTTACCAGTATCAGCAGCAGATAATTTACTTCCTGAAGTTTGAGATTTACTAGATGAATCTGTGAGTGTAGGCTGTACAATAGTAGAAACTTGTTGTGTAGTATTAGGACTTTGCATTAGAAACTGGCGGATCTACATCCAATTCAGCAACAGTACCAACTTGAACAATATTAACAGTATGAGTATCAACAATAATAGTATTAGTAGCAGCTATATCTTGATCAGCTGAGGCTTTCTTAGGAGTCCACCTCTGTTTAGGTGCTTGCTTAGGTAGACTACAATCAGTGTGTCCAAGAACCTTACAAGAGCTACATTGAGTAGGTCTCCAAGGAATTTCAACATCAATAGTAACTGCAGTACCATCTCTCAACTCTACAGCAATCTTATCAAGCAGTTTAGCTTCTAGATCAACCTCTACACAAACTTTGCCAGTGGATATTTTCTGTTTCATAGCAGTAGCACGATCCATGTACAATGGAGTACCAAATCTGCTTGCTATGAAGCTTAAACCTAATTTAGTGTATGGCTCAATTGGCACATGTTTAAGCGTAAGCCAAAGTGGGAATTTCCTCAGATCAATATCCATTCTAGTATCTCCAGGTTCCCATTTCCTAAGAAACAAAGGTCGATTTTGAATGTGCCAAGGACCATTCTCCAGAACCCAAGATCTAGTAATATCATTTGGCAGCTGAATAACATACTGATTCGAATCAAGTTCAGTAATCTTCACTACCCCATCACGCCCCCAAAGTCGATTCGCAGTTCTTTGAAAGAGAGAAATTGAGCTAAGATGCAATGTTTCCATTCAGCTGAGCTAGATTCATATACTTCCTCTGGAGCACGAAAAACAGCTTTCTGTGGATCAACAGGAGAAATCGATTTAAGACCAACATCTTCCATGAGAACAGAGCTCCAATTACGATTTGGATGAACAGTTTCATTCAGATCTTCAGGTAAAGTAGAAGAAGATTCCAAACTAACAGATCTAGAAGAGAAAAGCAAAAGAATGAAAGAATCAAGAGCAAACCAAAAGATCAGAAAGAAAATCGAAGGAAAAAGAGGGAAAAACTTCAAAATTTTCTCGGGAAAGTTAGTCCAGCTAACGTGCGCCGAAAGAATTTTGCTGACGTCATATGCATCCCTGGATTTTTAAATTTAATTAGAATTAGAATTATTGATTTTTTTTTCTGATTTTCTCTCCCCACACTCTTATGTCCCTACTTACTCCTATACTATTAAACTTATACAATAAAAAATTATTTTTATATATAATTACTAAATATGTATTTCAAAATATACATAATATAACTCTCATCTTAAAGATCTCAAAGATCTCAATGAGATCTTTACGATGGTATATTTTTTATAATTTAAGTTTTGATATTTTAAGTTAAAAAATTGAGAGAAAATATTGTCTTAAACAAAAATTGTTAGCCTTAACCCTATTCATCGTCTCTCTTAATGGACACTCTTCCATTTTACCCCTTTTTTGACTTTCTTGCCTTATTTTAAGTTCATTCCAAGCTGCCAATGGGAGTTGGCACAAGTGGTTAAGGTTCGAACTCTTCGTGCACCCCACCTAGGTTCAAATCCCGCTGACCGCAGTCTCCTATTTGGTAGACGATCTGTAAATTCCGAAAAGCCCGCATGTGAAAGTCCAATGGGTCCGTAAATCCCAAAAATGGGTTGGCGGTTTGCCCTGACCTTGGAGATGGGGTAGCCACCCCTGCTCCTAAACTTTTAGAACCGACCAAGAAGTTATTTCCAAGCTCTTGCAAAAAAAGAAAAAAAAATTCCTAGCTACTACTATTTTTTACTCCATTATAAACGGCATAACATTACTTTATCCAATTCTAAATTTCGGATTTCAATGCATTGCAATAGTAAATCACAGACTTCAAAACAATGTCAGCCCATGTGACTTTAAAATTTATCTTACCAAATTACCACTGACCGGATGAGTCAACGGTGTCCATAGAATCAAAATTAAACAATTTTTTTGGACATTATTCACTACAGACATTTTTTGTTGTTTAAATTAATTTGGACCCCAATAAAACCCAGCGGCTCTTTTGAGAGCCGCATTAAATGCGGCTCCATGTAGCCGTGGCATTTTGTAACCCTCCCCACCTGACTCGGCAAAATTGAAAAGGCTTCGTAGTTTGTTCCTTTCCAAAGTTCCCTCTAGCCTTACCTTAAACAGATTTTCGTCATCTGCGAGGGGTCTCTTTCCTGACCTATTGACTAACCACTTTTGGTGGACGCGGCATCCACAATCGGCGGCGCCAAGACATCCAGCTTCCTACTGACTTGACTTCAAAACAAGGGAAGTGAACGCTCGCCTAAATGTCCTACAATAAAGCGCCTTAAAAGCCAGCTCCCACTAAAGCAATCCTTGGATCGTCTACGACTCGTCTAGCGATTCTAAAAGAGTACATAATAATTTAGTGCCCAACAAACCCCACCCAGTTACTGTTGTCAACAAGCCCAACTCATAATCGACAGTTTCTTTCTCTTTTGGAAGCGAAGCTCCCTCTTTAGGAACTACACTTCAAGTAGGGTACCTTGAACCGAAAGAAACAACTGTAAAAGCTACAAAGGCTAAAATCACGGTTTTCCGTTCTTCTTCTTGAGGTGAATATATCTCCGCTACCTTCCGAACTCTGCTTGCTTCAACTCACTCCATTTAAAAAGCGTTTGCCCAGCGATCCTGCCTCCACACTCATCAGCAGAATGGAGTTGTCGAGCGGAAGCAAGTTAGTGTGTTTTTTCTACGCACACTAGTGAAGCGCGCTGACGTAAAACACACGAACTGAACTATAAAGATTTAGGGTTTGGTATCTCAGACGGCGTAAACTCTCAGAAGAAGTGATCCGCAATAGCCTGTTGTTCGCCTGTCCTTTCACCTCTAAAGACAATTCGCCTATCGTCTCATCCTATCATGCCCTTCGCCTTACGGCTCACCTCTAAATACCCTTCGCTTCGGATTGACTCTAGGAATTGGGTAAACATTCATTCCTCTTCTCCCTCGGGCGATAGACTTTCTGCGTTTCATTCCTATTCAAGTTACTAAACACACCAAGTGTTCGACGTAATATCTAAACGAGCAAAAGCAGAAATTGATCAATCATCTATTACTATTGTTTGAAGCAGTCGTCATGTCTTTTGAGTAAGGGCAAACTTGATGTTAATTTTTTATTGCTCTCCTGTTTTTGTTATTTCAATTTTGAAGCATGCCATTCATGCTAATTTAAACTGTTTGATACTTTTCTTGATTCTGCAAGAAAATATAAATGATTGTCTTCATGTAAACCTTCCATTGAATAAGTATTAAATTTCATTTTGTCACGTATGGATTAGAATACCATTAATCAGTCTCATTTGTGTTATTGCAGCTATTTAATTTGTGAATTCCTTTGTTCTTGGAAATGTTCAAGTGCAGAGTGCATGAGTATTTAGTGTGATAACCTGACTATTTGAACTTGTGTTTTAAGTTTCAAGTTAGCATGTTCTAGATTGGGAAGCTGTATGTGGGATGGGAGAGGAGAATTATCTCTATTGGTTTTTATGTTCAATACTTTTTTCTTTTTTCCAAAAAAGAAGGTTTAAGAGTGCATGAATCCTGATTATGATTATGATCTATGAAGGATTAATGAAGCCTAGATGGAAAGGAAAAGGCTCAGAAGCCAAAGCTATTGCGGATCCTATGTCAAAAATAGTCTCACAGCTTCAATCTTCTTTGATGCAATCTGAGGCCCGTGGTTTACTCTCAAGCTGCAGTGTACTTGTTGAAGTGGATGCAGAAGTGGCTGATCTTCTCAACCGTGCGTGTTTTGGACGACCACGAATTACAGCTGAGAAGGAAAAACAGTGGTTTCAGTTGGATATGGAAGAAGCCTTTTATTTGGGTTTTTCACTCAAATGCCTCGAGGTTGTCAGTAAAGATGGTTGTACAAAAAGTGATGAAGAGCTGTGGGAGTACATGAAATCCAAAAAGGAAGTTTTCCCTATCTCTTACAAGGCTTATTCTCATCTTCGAAATAAAAATTGGGTTGTGAGATCAGGATTGCAGTATGGGGTGGACTTTGTTGCCTATCGTCATCATCCGGCCCTTGTCCATTCTGAGTATGCAGTGCTGGCACTATCAGAAGGAGAAAATGATATAAATGGTCGGTTGAGAGTGTGGTCAGATGTTCACTGTACAGTTCGGCTTTGTGGAAGTGTTGCAGAAACATTGTTGATTCTTAACGTGAATGATAAGGGTCAGGGTGCTATATCTCCATCATGTTTAGAGCACTACACTGTTGAAGAGCGAACAATCACAAGATGGAATCCTGAACAATCCCGTGAGAATCAAGGAGTTCTTGAGAATCAAACGAAGTAAGATAAAATTGAGAATCATTCTTTTTTTGGACTATTTTGTTTTACTGTGTATTGTTTACTTGTTTTTATAAAAGCTTTTAGTTTTTGCTATATCTTCTTGGCAGTGGAGCTTACTTCAACAAAAACAGATTATATTTGGACATTTGGTCTCTAATTCACATAGAAAAGAGATTTCCAGCTTCTGAAATGAGTTAAACTTGTTTTTATACCCCTCAAAGTCACTTGTTTTATATGGTAGTGGAGCTTAGGGGCCAATTGCGGAACGGATATCAGGGTGACATCACTAAAAGTTTCACCTAGGTTGACATTGCCAAGTTTTAGATCAGATTCTTATTCTACTTGAAACCCGTAGTTCCTCATTTCTCTCTTTTTCTAACCATAATGCATATTGCGTTGGCTGTCATCTTGTTTTCATTTCTTGGGTATCTATTTATAGTACTATAATTTTATCCATTTCTTAATCTACACTGGTTGGAATCTTGCCTATTTTATGCTTAAGTGCACTAGATCTGAATCTGATCTTCTCTTACTCACTTGTGTCTCTGTTGTTTTTTTTTTTTTGGTACCGGTGTCTCTGTTGTTGAAATTAGGAAAATGCTAAGTTAAAATTGCACGACTTGTTTATTATAAATCTCACTTATGTTTATGAGAAAAATTACTTTAATAAGCAAAAAAATATATAAATAAAGGTTAGTATTCTTGATATCCATGTTGCATACTTACATGTCTGTTGTTTGAATCTCAACTTGCTTATGGATATTCTTTTTGGGAAAGTGGCCATTGATGAGAGTAGCCGTTGGGAAAGAAGCCATGTTCCTCAAACAACAGACATGTAAGTATGCAACATGGATATCAAGAATACTAACCTTTATTTATATATTTTTTTGCTTATTAAAGTAATTTTTCTCATAAACATAAGTGAGATTTATAATAAACAAGTCGTGCAATTTTAACTTAGCATTTTCCTAATTTCAACAACAGAGACACCGGTACCAAAAAAAAAAAAAAAACAACAGAGACACAAGTGAGTAAGAGAAGATCAGATTCAGATCTAGTGCACTTAAGCATAAAATAGGCAAGATTCCAACCAGTGTAGATTAAGAAATGGATAAAATTATAGTACTATAAATAGATACCCAAGAAATGAAAACAAGATGACAGCCAACGCAATATGCATTATGGTTAGAAAAAGAGAGAAATGAGGAACTACGGGTTTCAAGTAGAATAAGAATCTGATCTAAAACTTGGCAATGTCAACCTAGGTGAAACTTTTAGTGATGTCACCCTGATATCCGTTCCGCAATTGGCCCCTAAGCTCCACTACCATATCAAACAAGTGACTTTGAGGGGTATAAAAACAAGTTTAACTCATTTCAGAAGCTGGAAATCTCTTTTCTATGTGAATTAGAGACCAAATGTCCAAATATAATCTGTTTTTGTTGAAGTAAGCTCCACTGCCAAGAAGATATAGCAAAAACTAAAAGCTTTTATAAAAACAAGTAAACAATACACAGTAAAACAAAATAGTCCAAAAAAAGAATGATCTCAATTTTATCTTACTTCGTTTGATTCTCAAGAACCCCTTGGTTCTCACGGGATTGTTCAGGATTCCATCTTGTGATTGTTCGCTCTTCAACAGTGTAGTGCTCTAAACATGATGGAGATATAGCACCCTGACCCTTATTATTCACGTTAAGAATCAACAATGTTTTTGCAACACTTCCACAAAGCCGAACTGTACAGTGAACATCTGACC